TTCAAACCCACCAGCCACTCCTCAGAAGGAAGATGGGGCAATCTACTTCCGTAGTGATACTGCCTCAGAAACCCAAGGAAGGGTCTCTATGAATCGAGTCTGACTCGACGGCACATAACATAACATAACATATAACTTTAGGGGTTAGGAATGAAATAGGAGAGAAGCAAAAAGTATAAGTACTTGTTGATGTTTCATAGGTATTATTTATAGTATTATAAATGAGTAAATGAATGAGGGCCTTCAAGAGTCCAATGATGACAGTAGGCCATAGTACTCTGGAGTCCACAGGTCAAATAGCATTAATTACTTTTCTCCTTTACTTATCTTTAGTCTTTAATTTGAGCTCATATTTTTTAAAAAATGAAATCATATTATTGACTGGCATTAATTTTAATAAGCAGGGTGAATATTTTCCCAATAGAATGCCTAGTAAATTCTTCTATTAGTACATGGCCCTTGCTTTTCAGTCTTATTCCCAGCATATGTAATATCCCATCAGGCATTAGTAATTTGCAGCGTTTTTACTTTTTCAATTTTTTTTCCTATTTAGGCCTATTTCTAGTAATGGTCTTGAAAAATAAAACCAAAACCCAATAGCAAACAATAACTTTACATATCAAGTAAAGAACTTTTTGATCACACATGTGTATTGGGTATGATATTCATTGGTACTGAAAGTATAAATTGAAGTTTTACTGAATAAACTTGTTTAAAAGCAAACAATAATCAGAAATCTTAATATAATCATTACATAATGCATCAATGTCTAAGTGATAGATTTTGCCCTGGTTATAAAATCACAAAAGACAATTAATTGTAAAAGTGGAAGAAAATCTTTTCATAGCCATAAGATTTTAAAAAATCAGCAAATGCAGCATAAAATAATTCACTTACAACACTTATAAGGCTACCCAAACTAAGAAGAAATCTATCATTAATGCTCCTACATTTGGAGCATCCTTTAACCAGAACTGCAATATCATAAAGGCAGAGAATACAAAGTTATCATTACTGTAAAAAAAAAAAAAAAGTTCACATAAACACAAAAAAATATACAGAGAACTTTAAAATCATGTCCTCATTAAGCTTCCATTTTTATCTTTATATTCATAAATGTGAATAATTAACTTCACTATATAAAAGTATACTGATTATTTTTTCTTTAGGGAATAAAAAATAAACACAATGTATTGTTTTCATTATCCAGCACGGCTATAACAGATGTATGTACCACAAATGTATAGCTTTAACAAACAGAGATTTATTCTCTTACAGTTTAGAGGCTAGAAGACCAAGTTCAAATTGCCAGCTCTAGGGGCTGGATGAAGGCCCCTTGACCTTGGGCTTCAATTCTGCCTCTTGCTCCCAGCCCACTGAAGCTGGGGGACTGAAGCTGGGGGCTTCTCTTAACTCAAGCAGCTGCTGGCTGCTGAGGCTGATAAACTCATGGTTGACAAGTACAATGGCACAGTCTCAAGATTAGTAAGGAATATGGCAGGTTGCTGAAGACTCAGCTACGTGCAGGGTCCAAGTGTGCCAAAAAGGTCAGAAACCTTTCTCAAAGCATCTTCTTATATGCTGGAAGTAGAGCATATCCGTAAGGCAGCTACTCAGTTGCTCAAAGCAGAGTCCACCATGGAACTGATTACTGGTCTCATCATGGGGAATCACTACAACCAGATGCCAAGCCACTCAAAACCAGGCCCAGCCACACTGACATATAACCTTAATTACCACATGTATCCTTAGAAAAATCCAAGCAAATGGAAAATTGCATAATGTTTTAGTCCTTCTTTTGTCTATAGATTTCTACTTAAACCTGTGACCCCTTGGTAGATTCCAACTCATGACAGTTCTATCTGTAACATAATAGAACTCCTCTAGAGTTTTTGGCCATAATATTTATGGAGGCAGATGGCCAGGCCTTTCTTCTTTGGTACTGCCAGGCGCTTTTGAATCATCCACCTTTAGTCTAGTAGCCAAGAGCAAACTGTATGTGCTACCCAACTATTTAAGTAGCATCCCATTCCTTATCTTATGCTGTGAAAAATAACAACAGCAAATTGGTATTTCCTTTGTTATGGAACACAAATTTTTAAATGCTACCTCTTTTATTTTTCAGCAAAATATCAAACCAGATGATTGTGTGCTTCTTCAGTAGACACAGACTCACATGCAGAACTTTTAAGCTGGTTAATATTTCTTAAGTAACTGGTCTAGTTATCCAAATACCAGAGCTCCATCTTTTCACATGGTTTCTTAGGACAATTTAATTAAAGTTACTGAAAAGAACCAAAGGATTTTCTGCAATGCGACATTGTGATGAGCTGGCTAATGATGTGATAAAGTTGGAATATGATTTTCTACCAGTTGGAGATACCTCTTAATTAACTCAACCTTTTGTGGATTTTCACCCACTCTTCCCTTCTCCCATTCAATAAACATAAAGATTCTGAGACTACCAGATCTGCATGACATACTGAAAACAATAACATTAATTTGAGTTCTCTAATAAACATGAGACAATATGCTCAGTTATTTAAAAATAAAGATGAGAAAAATAAAATCCTCTTTCTAGTTATAGTTCAAGCTTTTTTTGTAATTTACTACAATGCAGTTTCTTTATTTTTACCTTTTTGGAAAATGTTGTTGTTGTTGTTGTTATGTGCCGTCAAGTCAGCCCTGACTCATAGCGACCCCTCCTTGGGTTTCCGAGGCAGTATCACTACGGAAAGTAGGATTGCCCAACCTTCCTTCCGAGGAGTGGCTGATGGGTTTGAACCGCCAGCCATCTGGTGAGCAGTCAAGTGCCTTAGCCACTATGCTACCAGAGCTCCCATAGCCAGTCTGTAATTCTCCCAAATATTCAAAATATACCAAATTCAATAAGAATATGCATAATAAAAGCAACATACAAAAATATTCCTGGAATTAGAAAAAAATAAAAATTTCTCCCTAGAACTACAAAAAGAAAACAGAACAGAAAGAAGGAAGGGAGAGAGGGAGGGAGGGACGGAAGGAAGGGGAGAGGAAGACAGAGAGAGACACGGACAGACAGACAGAGGAGAGGGAAACAAACAGAAAGAAAAGAAATTAAAGGAAAAGGGTAAATAAAAGCGATGCTGAAAAATGCTATTCTTTTCTAACATAAATGACATGCATCTAAGAACATGATCACAGCCAGCTAACTAGTGGCTTCAACCACAACCCATGGAAGTGCTATTATCTACTGGAGGGATACTGTCAAAGTATTACCAACTCCAAATCATTACTTTCTGGCAATCCCTCCTCCCCATAGTCTCTACTATGAAAAATGAGTATTTTAACTAATTTTAATATTAGATTCTCATAGGCAAAGATATAAAATCAGATAAAACATCCTTAAAGAGTTACAATATTGCTCTCCCCAAAACAAAAAGCTGGAACGAAGTCCTTTGCATTTTTACTGATATAAACTTCCCTTCATTCTCTTAATGCTCATATTACACTTACTTAACCGTTTTTTTTTTTTTCAAAAAAGTGCTAAAATAAA